CCCGGGCGGGCGGCGGCGTGCGCGCGCCGCATCAACCGCGGCGGGGAGGACAGGGAGGCATGGCCGGAGCTGCGGCCAGTCGGCCCGCGGCCTCCCCCGCCCCCGCCGGGCAGGAGCGCTCCCCGCGGCCCCCTTCCGGCTGCGGAGGGCAGTTCTGGCGCGGCTCTGCGCGGCCGGGCGCAGGTCTCTCACGGCTCGCGGGCCCCGGGCGGCTCAGGCACATCCACCTCCGAGGCCGTGCTCCCGCAGCCCCCTTCCAAGAACCAGTTTTTAAAAATCCTCTCGGGAGGGCTCTCCGCGTCTCTCAGAAAAGCGAGCCGGGGCGGCGAGAAGCGCCGACGGGCCAGACGACTGGCGCGGTGTGCTCAGACGAGAGTTCTGGGGTTCAGATCGCTCCTCGCAGGGAAAGGAGGAAGGGGTGGCGGCCTCCCGGCCAGTGAAAATCCACGTCACGGGCGTTCGAGACCGCGCGGCGTCCGGGACGGGGCTCGAATCAGCGTCGTCGGGCGGGTCCCCGAGCGCGCAGGCCCCGGCGGGACTCCGGGGCACGCGCCTACAACCTCGAGGTCGCCGCTGCCGGGTGGGGGGTGAGGTGGGGTTCGTTGTTTTTTTGTTTTTTACCGTTGGTGCGGAGGTAAAGAAAGGAGCGAAGTTTGGCGGTCCTCCTCAGGGCAGGCGTCGTCCCTTGTCCCCCGCGCAGGCGGAGGCACTTTCCCGATCCCGCACTCTGGGCAGGTGGGGGCAGAACGTCTACGGGAACTCCGGTCCTCGCAGGTCAGCGTCTGCCCGGCAGCGCTCACTCCCAGTCCTCCGACCCCCGGCTCCACGGCAGGAATCCCTGCGCCAGATGATCAGAGATAGAAACGCGTGAATTTCCCTTTCTTCCTGGCACTAGGACGCGCCGCGCGCCCGCCGCCGGGCAGAGAGGAGCGGGGCGGGCCACTTGCCAGCTCGCCCGCTGCCCGCTGCCATGTGCTCCCTGTTGCTGCTCCCAGTGATTGACAGGCCGGCGCACAGGCGGCGTGTCAGCAATGAACCAAAGTAACATGCAGCCCTGCACGTTTTTGCCGTAGTGTTTGTGCCCTTGGAATGCCTAGGAGTTCAAACAACGTTCAAGCAACGCCTCTGCGCATTGGAAATCAATACACAGAGACGGGAAATTCAGGTTTTACACCAGTGCGTCGCTCGGGATCCGGTCGCCAACAATGCCTAAACAAACACGCACTTGGTCCACACACCGAGGAGCCAGACCCTTTTCAGCATAAATGGGCCCTGTGTTTCGCACATTCGATTGTTTCAGACTTTAAACTTGTTACTGGTTTGTTACGAGAAAAAAAAGGTGAAAGGGACCCTGGTTTTTCTTTTAGCAATAACATTTGCTTTAAGAGCATTCGTTTTAGCGATGGGAATGCTACTGGTGTTTTGAAATGCAACCAGTAATCTTAGCTCTACAGCGAGTTCAAAGAAATGTTCAGTTCCTTGCAAAAGCCAACATTTCTCACCTTATCTTTCCTAAAATGTCTACGGAATGAAAGGAAGGAAACAGTTCTTACCTAATGCAAAGATTGGAAATTGCTTTTCAGGCACATTTACAGCGACTGTAGCTGTTCCTTATCCAGGGCAGGGAGCTCTGCTGCTATCACTCTGCAAACCACAGCGTGCTTAACAGAGCGCTCCCACTCCGGCTCCGCAGAATTTCAGCTCCTCGCCTCCACCTCCACCTCCACTCCAGGACACGCCTCCAGTGATATCATGTGTCAATCACGCGGGCTGCCGGAAAACCTGGAACAGGACTTCCTCAACTGAGGTCTCCTCTTTCGTTTCTGTGTACTAACTTGGAAATGTTGCCCTATAGACTCGTGCAATAAACATCCTTTAATCTTCGGGATTGCCTCTAAAAATTCTGCAAATACAGTTTGTCATAAAGAAAACATTCTAATTTAGTTATCAATTTTTAGTTATTGACCTCAATTAAAAGGATTGGTGGACTTGGAAAAGAATTGTGAATAAAAGATGAAACAAATTATATGCCAAACCATCACTTCTGATCCACTAGAAGGAAAATGTATATTCATGTAAAAGGATATTTACACAACAGTATAGTTCCTATTACAACATTACTAGTACATATAGTTCAGAATATGTGAAATCTGCAACTTCAAAAGTGGCACTCCTTGGAAATGTCATAAATGTCAGATTTCCTGCTGTAGGTTTTTAAACAATTGGTTTGGGATATAGTTTCTCCAAACCAATCACATGAAAAAATCCAAAATTTATTCATTTTTTGTAATATATTTGTATAATTTTCCCCAAAAAGCCCAACCTGTTTACCATCAAAAATGAGCTAAAAGGCAATTCATTAAAATAGAAAAATTTACTAAGAGGTTTTATAACTTTTAATAACACGTGATATGTCACTGAAAGACACTACCTTAATAACTAGGAAACTTGCTTTTTGTTTTCTTACAAACTATGAGACTGCAGACATTTATCAGCAAAATCATGTCATTTGTGCTGCAGTGAGGATAATAGATGTGGAATTTAAGGTTCTTTAGAGTTTAAAAGATACCCCCAAACTGAAAACATATCGTTAGTAAAAAGTAAATATTTTTTTCAAGTACTACATATCAGAAGTAGCTTAAAGTCTTTGGCAAAATGAAGCAAACAAAAACACAACTCTAAAATCTAAATCTAAATCATACATAAATATGTAATTTTTTAAAAAACTCCTTTCCAATATAGATATACATATCTGAGTACTTTCAAAAATTAAAGTCGTGTTTGAAATTGCCTTTGAGGAAACTAGGGCATTATTAAGAAGATGAAAAACAACAAATATCACTAAAAAATAATATAAAACAAGAATGAAGCCAAGAAACTACATATTTATGCTTAATATTAGGAATTTATTGAAATAGGCTATTTAAAAGTATACAATTGATTTTACTGTATATGTTTTCTATTTTTCATAGATTTCATGAGATTTGGTGATGAATAAACTTTTACCCATGATGGACAGGGTCTTTTTGTGAATATATTTGGAATAGTCAAATCAAAAATAGAAGGCACCTCAACCGGCTAAGGCGCCAGCCACGTACACCTAAGGTGGCAGGTTCGAATCCCCAGCCCGGACCTGCCAAACAACAATGACGGCTGCAACCAAAAAATAGCCGGGCGTTGTGGCGGGCGCCTGTGGTCCCAGCTACTTGGGAGGCAGAGGCAGGAGACTCGCTTGAGCCCAGGAGTTGGAAGTTGCTGTGAGCTGTAATGCCACAGCACTCTGCCCAGGGGGACAGCTTGAGGCTCTGTCTCAAAAAAAAAAAAATAGAAGGCACTTCAGGGTATCTTATTTTGTTCTTCAAAACTGTCACCTTAACTATTATTACAATTTTGGGATGAAAGGTTAGTTCACCAATAGATAAAACCAGGAGAGGGAGCACTGAACATTCTATTTTCATAAATCCAGCAAAAATATATTTGAAGGATTTCTATTACAAATACACTTCAAAGTATTTCAACCAGAGATGTCTGAAAACAATTTTCATGAGATTAAGTATTTAAAATTACAATAATAAATAAAACCCATAGGATTTTATCTGAAACACCAGCATTATGGGTCATGTTCTATTAAGAAATCAAATATACTGTACAAGTTGATCAATAACCCTTTACATCATTTAACACTAAAATGCATACATATGTCTTTCTTTAAATATTACAAATAAATGTAAGCATAAGCCTTGTCACCTTATATCTAAAAAATATTTAATGAAATCTGCCTCTCCTTTTGATTGCCTACAACTGTAAGACTTTGTAGAAATTCTAAATTTTTAGCTTAAAATATACATTATTCTTGATTGAGTAAATGTAATTAGCATGTACTGTAGCTAGAAATGGATAATTGGAGTACGAAATTTTTCTAAAAAGGAAAAACAATGTAAAATACCAATGGAAAACTCTTGTAATAAATGTTATTTTTACAGTATTAGATATGTATAAATAAAGTGGAATGGAAAGTGACTTGTTCTTTATTTTCATGTAAAGATAAGATTAGCCATCTTTTCTGCTGATTTTATTTAAAAAAAGAACAAAGTGAATTGAACAAAATTTGGTAACTCCTGACAACTGCTAGTGATGGAAAAAATTAAAAAGTGGAGTACTAGGAGGTTTAGTTTACTCATTTTACCTACTTTATTTGCCAAAATAAAAATAGAAGAATCATAATGTGTTCCAAAC